TCTTGATATGTTTCAAAATATGAAATGGTTATCTTTTCCATCTAGATGTAAATACTTTTCTGGAATTATGGTATATAAAGCGATGAATGAATTAACGCCAGCATATATTTCTAATCTAATTCCGTTATCTCAAAATAAAACTTACTTACTAAGATCAACACATAAAAAAGATATTATGCATAAACGACCTAAAACAAATTATTTGAAACGTACTTTTTATTATTCTAGTATGGAGTTATGGAACACTATTCCTTTAAAAATAAGAAATATTTCAAGTCTTAAATTATTTAAATCACATTTCAAACATTTATTATTATCTAGAGATGAATTATAGAAAATTTACCTATATTATAATATAATATTATGTCTGTCTTCTTTGTTGATTAAGATTTACTGAATGTTGTAATCTTTACAATTGTTTGAATATGTCCGTTGTTATGTTTATGTTTTATTGAAGGCCTTGTTGAAAATAAGATTTTGCATTATATGTGTTGTATCTAATGCTTTGATGTATTGTCTTAATAAGTTACCTTCGTTAAATAAAGAGTTTATTATTATTATTATTATTATTATGTTCGCTTACAAACCCTATAACAAGTAGAGAAACTGACAGCGAACAGCATGGGTCCAGATCAGACTGCGCGGATGCGCAGGCTGGTCTGGATCCATGCTGGTCGCAAACCCATTATGTTGGTTTTGTCATGGTGCGGCTCATATTTTTATACTACAAATGAGAACTATAAACACAAATCACACTTGCCATGGTAAATCTCAAGTAAAAAATTTTCATAGCGCTACTTTCACTGTTAGCAGACGAGATTTTTTAACTCTTACTGAAAACCATTTTCTACTATTTATACACTGATTGTCACCCTATCATTTGTAGGTCAATGTTCGGATGCATATATCTAAGTTTCTCAGTCAAATTTTGGGAGACAAAATTTATTTCAATCAAAATGAAACTAATCAACGGAACATATAATTGAGCCGCGGCATGACAAAACCAACCATAATGGGTTTGCGACCAGCATGGATCCAGACAAGCATGCGCATCTGCGCAGTCTGGTCAGGATCCATGCTGTTCGCTATCAGTTTCTCTACTTGAATAGGGAATTTGTAAGCGACAGCATGGATCCGGATCAGACTGCGCGGATGCGCAGACTGGTCTGGATCCATGCTGGTCGCAAACCCATTATGTTGGTTTTGTCATGACGCGGCTCATATCATTTTTTTTAAATGGGACGTAAAGCTAAACACCATGCTAAATGTAATACGATGATTAAAATTCAAATACGGTTTCCCTGATTCGAACCAACAGAGGTCAGGGACAAGTAAATTGAAGTTGGCGACCTTAATCAATGGGCGAGGAACATGTAAAACATTGTCTCGACAATCATGTGTGATTTTGATAAACGTTAAATTAGGTATATTTATTAACGTGATTAAACATATGTACTTAGCTTGATAAATAACAAATTTCAATAATGCACATATATTAAAACTGAAATAAAACATCGGAAAAATGCATGCATGTATTCACTTTAAAACAGAAAAGTGTTTATTTATTTATTTTTTTTGTTGTTTTTGCTTTGTGTGTGTGTGCGTGCGTGCGTGTGTGTGTGTTTTTCATTATTTTTGTTTTTTTGTTTTTTCTTTGGTGCATGATTGGATTCGTGGTTGATCTCCGAAGAGATTGACAGGTTTGGAGAAAGTTATCTACTTTGTTCAAATTGAATGCACATGGAACTGGTGTCCAAATCCCTGTTCAAGAGAATGTCTCTGTAATATTGTGTCGTTTTAAGAAAAAGTAAAAAACCACTTCAATAAATTTGTCCTACTGGTATGAAAACCCTGTATTTTCTGCATAATAACGTTCCTGCATATATAGAAGCTACATTACTGTAATTGATTTTTTTCTTTCTTTTTTTCCGAGAAAAAAGAAATTGCTGTCCGTAAACATGCACCGTATTCTCAAGACTTTTTCTGTGACTTTTTTTTATTTTCTAGGTTGAAAAACATCAGTCTTGCGGGTCATAGCTTCAAGAATGGAAATGGGCTTGGTCGAAAATTTTCAGATATTGTAAGGTATACCTAAGGCAATGTATGGAGGACTATGTTGAAGTATTGAGAAATTGGATTTTACGTCAGAAACTTTGTATTTTATAAGAGGAAAGTATTTTCTGAACGGTTGAAGTAGAATTTTGTTAAAAATGTGCTCTTTTATTACATTTATTTACCATGTTTGCATTACATATTGACCCGGACACACCTTTTCTATATGCATTAGATCTGAATACTAATAGATCTACATTAGAATAGGCAAATATTTACTCGGAAAATGGTATATATTTATTATTCAAATATTGTCACGTGATCACCCACCTTATATAAATATATATAGAAAAATAAATGTCTTTAAATAATCTTATTATTGTCTTAAAAAAACCTATTTTCTTAAAGGAGCAAGAAATATTGAATTAAAGAAAATGATTAACAAAAGTTAACCTGTTAAAATATGTCTCTTAATACAATATGTTATCTTAAAATATATAACAGATTTAAAGATTTGCTCATTATCTACTTAAAGGCTTATTATTGCCAAGAAATGTTTTAGTTTTATTTCTCCACCATTTTCTATATTAGGTTTCTTATTATAGTTTTTCAAAAAGTTATCCAAATTAATACCTGAACCATATTTTGCTTCTGTTTCTTCCATGGACTCTGAATGTCTAGTAATTACAGTGACTTAGTATTTTGTATGGAAGTTAAAATACTACTTTGTTAACATTTTGTTTGTATTTACATTCAGCACTACTTAAAGAATCTAAGAAGCTCTATAAACATTTTTATGCTCCCCGAAAAATTTCGGGGGAGCATATAGTCGGCGCCTTGTCCGTCTGTCCGTCTGTCCGTCCGTCCGTCCGTCCGTCTGTCCGTCCGTTTTCTTGTCCGGAGCATAACTTGAAAACCCTTGGAGATAATTTGTTGAAACTTCATACAGTGGTAGAGGGCATCGAGGGGGAGTGCAGTGTCAAAGAACCATAACTCTATTTTGCCCGGTTTTTGAATTATCTCCCCTTATAGAAAAATCTTGTCCGGGGCATAACTCTAAAACTATAAGAGATATCAACATGAAACTTTGTAGGTGAATAGATCTCAATGGGTAGATGTGCAGTGCATAAGAACAATAACTCTTTTCATCCTAATTTTGGAGTTATTGCCCTTTGTTAATTTTAATACTTTGAACTTTGTCCGGAACATAACTTGAAAACCCTTGGAGATAATTTGTTGAAACTTCATACAGTGGTAGAGGGCATTGAGGGGGGTGCAGTGTCAAAGAACCATAATCTATTTTGCCTGGTTTTTGAATTATCTCCCCTTATAGAAAAATCTTGTCCGGGGCATAACTCTAAAACTATAAGAGATTCAACATGAAACTTTGTAGGTGAATAGATCTCAATGTGTAGATGTGCAGTGCATAAGAACAATAACTCTTTTTGTCCTAATTTTGGAGTTATTGCCCTTTGTTTATTTTAATACTTTGAAACTTGAACTTTGTCCGGAACATAACTTGAAAACCCTTGGAGATAATTTGTTGAAACTTCATACAGTGGTAGAGGGCATCAAGGGGGAGTGCAGTGTCAAAGAACCATAACTCTATTTTGCCTGGTTTTTGAATTATCTCCCCTTATAGAAAAATCTTGTCCGGGGCATAACTCTAAAAACTATAAGAGATATCAACATGAAAAACATTGTAGGTAGATAGATCTCATTGAGTAGAGGTGCAGTGCAAAAGAACCATAACTCTGTTAAGCCTTATTTTTGAATAATCTCCCTTTTAGAAAAATCTTATCCAGGACATAGCTGTAAAACTATAAGAGATATCAACATGAAACTTTGTAGGTAGATAAATCTCAATGGGTAGATGTGCAGTGCACAGAATCATAACTCTACCTTGCCTAATTCTGGAGTTATTGCCCTTTGTTTATTTTTACTTTTTGAATTGTCCAGGACATAACTCGGAAATCATAAGAGATATCATCAAGAAACTTTGTAGGTTGATAGATCACATTGATTAGAAGTGCAGTGCAAAGAACTGTAACTCTGCCTTGCCTAATTTTAGAATTATTGCACTTTGAACTTTTTCCACGGACATAACTCTGAAACTACAAGAGGTGTACTTTCCTGTGTCCAAAACCTATTCGGGGAGCATCACCCGGCTCAAACCGGGCTCTTGTTAAACATTGTTAAAGTCTTGTTTGCTCTTTATAAAGAAGCAAAAGTTTATTATTTTCTGAGAGATAATGTGACTTTAAATATGTACAATAGAACAAAAAGTAACAATAAGTTTAATATACAACATTTATAACATACATGTGTAAAATTAATGTAGTTTAAAAGCGACAGAACTATGCTTAAAAATATAAAAGAAAAATGTGTACAAAGAAAAATGGTTGATAAATCACTTTGAATTCAAAGAATTTAAGAAGAGATAAGTTTTTTGGTTCTTTTTAAGAAAGAAGCGGAAAATATACATTAATAAATTTTCGCAGATTTGCTTGTTGAAACAAACATGTGCAAAACCATTTTATTGAGTTCCACATTATTTAATATTAACACAATACGTCTAATACTAGTACTTGCTAAAAGTACTGGCGGCAACGGAATCCATGCCGTCGTCAGTTCATCGTCTGCACTGTTTGTTTTTTCAGTCAGTATATATTTTGAAATGTACCCTTAAAATGATGAATTGTTTTGTCCAGGTTTAAAGATAGGCGAGTCCATTTTAAGTATTTAGCGGGATATGGATTAAAATTCGAAACCGTCTGATGATTATTGAAATAAATAAAAAAGAAAATAAATGCGTAGAGATTAAGGAAATGTATAAACGATAGATACAAAAATATCAAACAAAACGGTTACATATTTGATACAACAAATAAAACTATTGCGGATAACACCATTACCATGTGTCATTGACTAACTTAAATAACTTTATCTGTTCATTTCAAAAAGTTTTAGCATTTAAATCCTTTTCTTATACTTTAAAAATAAGCATTGAAATGTCTTAATGCGTGTTATTTTAAGACGTTATGAATGCTTTGATCGTCCTACAAAGAATCCGTATGTCGTTAATCAAGGCGGCGAAGTCCAACAGAGCAATCGACCCTAATGCCGCAATAAGAAAGACTAAACCAACAACCCCTACCGCAGTAGCCGACGGCCTGTCGTCGGTGGCGCTTGTCTTCGTACGAATCTATCAATAAAATAAAACTACATGTAGTTATATAGCTGGTTTCTACAACGTTTCGTCCATTTAATTAAACTAAATGCAGTTATTCGTTAAGTTTCAGTTTTCATACTCACACCGTACATTCAAATGGGTAGACAACCGTTCAACGCATCGACAGCCGTACTAGTATATACATGTCGGTATTAAAACATAATTGACAGACGGTAAGAATTTATCTATTTTTAACATATCCCAACTTTGTTCGAGTAATTTAATGTTATGGATTCATAGTCAACATCGATAGGAGCTTGGTACAGGTTTTATTGGATAGTACAATAGTAATCATACTTAAAACTAATTGATACGTTATAAAATAAATCATTTTATATGGCCGACAACTTACACATTATTGAAGTGTAGATGGATTTCGTCAATTATGTTTTTACACCGACATATGCCGACGCGTTGAACGGTTGTCTACCCATTTGATTATACAGTGTGATATTGCAATTTAAACTTGTACATTTACAATTGACATATTTTTTGTTTATCATTAGCGGTTGCCACATGTTGTGTTAAAACTTGCCCTGTTAAATACTACGGTACACAATCATGACAACGTCTAATGTGGTATTCAAGAATACAATGGTATTGATCAAACAGAATGTACTGATCAATATTGTCTGATAACAGGAAGCTGCCGGGATATTATTTCAAATCATGAAAGAAAGGCTGTATGAAAGTGATGTAAAGAATCAATATTGATATCGATGAAACTTCAAAAACTATTTTAATTCATTAGACAATAAAATGTTCAAACCTGTTTACATTTATACGGTCACAATACAGATGATGTTAAAAAGAAACGTATATGGATAGAGCAAGATGGTCTGATTGAAAATGATAAAAAAAACAAGGAGAAAGGAAGAAAGAAAAAAGAAAGAAAGAAAGAAAGAAAGAAAGAAAGAAAGAAAACGAAAACGAAATTAAACTTAAAAATTATGCGAATATTACACAGCGAGACAAACAGAGACAAAAATAGAGACAAACAGACAAACAAACAGAAAGAAAGAAAGAAAGAAAGAAAGAAATAAAGAAAGAAAGAAAAAGAGAAAGAAAGAAAGAAAGAAAGAAGGAAAGAAAGAAAGAAAGAAAGAAAGAAAGAAAAGAAAAGAAAGAGGTGAAAGAAGTTAATCTCAAAAAGTGTACGAAATTAATCTTACAAAGTATGCAAATATTTGTATATAGTTAAAAGAAATTATCATATATAATTCTGTTGAGACAGCTCCGTCATGAAACATTCTTGACTTACCACTGCACTGAGTTCGTTTTCCTTCACTTTTAATTTCTCCTGTATTTCTACAACGGACTCATCAAGTTCCTCCTGCGTATAGTTCCGTGGCACCGTCACCCATCCACACGGACATAGGCACTCTGTACGGCACGTTTCTACTGGTACTGGAAATAGACGTTCGGAACTCAACATTTAAACATGTTTCCAAACTAACATACCGTAAAATTCCTATTAATCTCCTCTGGGGGCTAAACATTAGGGGGGCTGTTATCATGGTTATCACAACACAGTTTTTCCTAAATCCAAAACTCAAGTGTTGCTATTACCATTTAAAAGGTTTTTAAGTTTATATGACACATTTTTGTGTTCACTACGTCAAAGTAAAAATGAATTCTGAAGGATTTGAATAAAATTATGGATTTACTTATGAGTTTAGCACTGATGAGTAGATTTTTTCCATTTCAATAAGCCTGGAGGGGAGGGGGGGGGGAGTATTCAGGGAAGGCGTTTAATACATAGGAATTTTACGGTAGGATGTATTTTGAATACATTGAAACTATAAAAATCCGTATAGCAAACGATCTTACATACACATATAGGTCACCATGGGTAATGATAATGCAAACGCACTATGTTGGTTTTGTCGTGACACGGCTCAATTATAGTAGAAAAAAAGTCTTTTTCAGTGATCCTATGATTGAAAATAAGTCTGACAATAATAATCAATTTAAAAACGTCCACTGATGTTCAATGACATTTATCACCAAATCCGAATCAATCTCAACAGGCAGAATTTTTGCACTTTCGGTTCCTACAACCATATCATCTATAAAAATATACTAACTCAAGGTAGATTTTAACTCGAAATATTGGATTAAAATTAGTCAAAATCTTTTAGCATTAAACTACTATATGTTTACATGTTTAGTTTCTTAGCGTAGGTTTGACCGAAATACCGCATCCGTTCTGTGTATTCTAACTATGATGTGTTCCGAAGTTTGACGGAAAGGGCCGAGGAGATGTTGAAAATAGTGGAAATGTGGATATTTTCTCAGTTTGCCAAAAATTAATTAATAAATAAATAAATTCGGCAAAGTCATATTACCCACACTCAGTGCGATATACTGTGGGTGATATGGATCTTATCACACAGACATAAAACGTAGTATCCCATAGGTTAGCATAATATAAAAAGTATTTTACAACTTCGTAACTGGTTTAACAAGGCTTCAAAATACATACAATCGGACAATCCGTCCATGTTTATGTCTGCACCAATGACTGTTAATGGTTCAAATGATGGTGCTGACCCTGATACTTGGATGGCTGGGCCTATGCTATCTGCAGAATCATCCGTAGAGTTTGTGCCACTTATAACGATACCACCATCTGTGTCATTATGTCCCACACTGACGTTTACTGAAGATGAGTTACAAGAAACCATTGCATCTGGAATCGACAGGTCTAGAACACGCAGTGTTGCTGTAACCAAAAAAGATCTATTAATAGAGATGAAAGTCATTCGGACAATATACTGTTTTCATTTGTGTTTCCCTTTTTCGTAAGATTTCTATTTTTAAGCTACGAAATGAACGTGAGAAAATACTACAATATGTAATGGAATATTGATAAAATATTTTGAGATTTATTAAAAGATCGAATTTGATAGCATCAATCTTCATGTTCAGCAAACGTTTTCATGTGCCAAGTGTACATGTGTAAGAAGAAATTAAATACATAGAGGATATTTCTTCTATGAATACAGGATTTGTTCATCAAGTGGCGGTAGCCACGAGTGAAATATCATAATTTTCACATCACAAATATATAGTATTAGATTTTTTTGACATTGCAATTTGAAGGACGTTCCCTTAAAAAATAATTTTGTGTACTGGCAGATTTTAGAAGAAAGTAGTCCGACAAGACACCAGTGAAAATAAGGAAAATATGTTTGACTGCAGTGAAAAATAAAATTTTAAAGTGAAAATTCGGAAAATGAAAATACGCATTTTATTACATCTATATTGATCAATACTTCATTTATAATTACATGATAGAATAAATAATCAATCACTTACTTGTATTTACGCGATTATAGTAATTTTAGTTTGTGTGCGTTGATTTTTATTATACATCGGCCCCTCTATTAAAGTCACATTATGCCTCAGAAATAAATGTGTTGTTTTTTCTTCTTATCTTTAGAAAGGGCAAGCAGGAGTTTTATAATGTTTAAATAATGATTTTAGAGAAAATTACTTGCTTATCACCTTGATGCCCCGGTCACATATTCACGGATAATGCCACGGAAGAGCCAAGGTCTAATCGTTCACGGATTACTACGGATAAGTGAAATTCCGTATTCCGCTACGGTTCCAATACGGACACACAACGGTATGAGTACGGAGTCCGACTGTGATTTACCTTTTAAAGCCCCCGGAGAAGACACGGATTGTTACGGACCGACACGGTTTGATACGGAGCGCACGAATCAGGACGGACGCACTACGGATACACTACGGGTTGCTACGGTATAAGCATGGCGTAGGTTGTACGAATAAGTACGGTCTGACACGGAGAAGAAACTGTATTGATACGGAGAAGAACGAAAATTGCCACGGATCTATACGGACCTAATACATCCGTCCACAACCGATCTTGCTTGCTCATTTTCAGAAAGAAACACCTAGAAAACGAATTGCACGTTCGGTGATTTTGGGCGGAGAGGATTCAGCCTAATCGCGTCCGAACCCCAGAACACATCAGTCCAATTAAAGTTAATTTCTTGAAGAACGCTGGATCCTCAACAGTTTGGCCATGGGCGCCTTCATTTCTCTTCGTAAAAGCCCATCTCTAGTCCACCATCTCGTCTGTCTTCCCTTACCTGATTAGATATGGACTAGTAATCATGAATAAAAACTGTTGATCAATACTGCTTCTCTTTTAATTTTAAGATTTGCTGTTCATCTTACAATTACATTCATAATCGTGATGTTTATTTTTTTAAAATATGTAAAAGCTTGTTAATTAATCTTATTATCACTCATATGGAGTGTCCGAGGCTTTGAGACAACTTCGTTTTATATACATATTTACTCCATTTTCACGATCCAATGTTTTGTAACATATGTAACATTAAATGTTATTCTATTTCGTATGAATTGTAGTACGATATTAATATAAATTTACTTCTATGCATGTCATCAAGCAGCTCCGACCACTGCCTCCGCATTCTGAGCCATTTCAATATAAAGTTGCCAGCCAGAAAGTGCAAATTATCAATTTATTATATGTTCCTGCAAATATCATTATGTCTGTTTTTTAACAAGAAGGTAGTATTTATTACCCTTGAAAAAGTAACATGATAAAACTTTAATTAATCGTACTAAACAGTGGTGGGCCGTACCATTCCGTACCGTTTTCGTGTTGCAACGCAATAAACCGTATAAGACCGTTGCTAATCCTTGCCTCTCCGTAGTACAACGTATTACTTTCGTGGCTTTCCGTTTGACAATGCCGTAATAATCCGTATTAAACCGTAGCTTATACGTAGGGTAACACGCTACAAATACGTAGTTCTCCGTTACCAAACCGTGGAAATCCCCTTTGACAAGTTGGTGGACTACGAATCAGTACGGAACTATTACGGTTTTTTACGTACGGACAGTACCCCGTATCAGTACGGATTAATACGGACTAGTAGGGATAAGCTACACGGTTGATTTTTCCGTACAAATTTTTTGTGCATGTTCAGAAATTGTCAAGGATCGCTACGGATATACAAGGACTACTACGATTGATTACGGTTACAAAAAGGAGAGCTACTGACCAGTACGGGTAGCTACGGAAGATGCCGGAATTATTCCGTGGCTCTTCCGTGGGCGTATTCCGTGAATATGTGACCGGGGTATAAGACAGAAGTACTGAATTTGTAATTATTTATTTGTATTCTTATTTAAAGTAGCAAAATGTAAACAATCAAAATAGTATTTTGACTTCCAAACAAAATGCAAAATGACTGCAATTGTTCTTATAACTAAAAAAAAAATAGAAGCAAAAAATGGTTCAGGTGGCCGATTAGTATTCCCTATTCGAAAAAGGAATAGGGAACTAACTTTATATACATTAATTAGTAACCTGTTAGAAAGTACAACAGGCAACCAAGATTTTAAGACTACTTAAGGTTTTAGTCAAATAGAAATAAAAGCATTTCTAAGGCTTGTTGGGCTTTAAATGTTTATTTTCATTACGCATGTGTAAGTCATGATATATCCAGACAAAAGTAGAAAATCCGCTAACTACTAAAAGGAAAAATCAATTCGATGAAATATTTCAACCCCAGTTGCGTGATTGAAATAAAATCATAAAACGGTATATAATACCGTAAAATTTGACCAGTTTTAAAAGAGACAGATTGGGTTCAATTGATAATATATTTTTTTTGAGGCCATATACTGGATAATTCTAGAGGTAGAAACGATTTTAAAAACCGTTACACGATCGAAAATATGCGCCGCAATCTGCGGTCCCGTTCTCGAGTTCCTATGGAATGAATGCAAACCTTGTAGCAATTATTAGCTATCAGTAATAATTTTGCTTTCGCTAACCATGTGTTCTTAGTGAATAAATGCAAACTTTGTTACACTTAATAGCTATCAGGAATAATGTGTTTTGCTAACCATGTGTTCTTATGAATTAATGCAAAATTTGTTGCACTTAATAGGGGACTGGAGGTGTAGGTATCCTCAATTCTCTCAGAAAAGCAACAAATCGGACAAAAAGTTCACAGAGCCAATGATTTTTAAAATCGATAATGAGGTCTATGTTTAAATATAAAATCATTAAGTACATAAAGTTATTTTTTCTCAAAAAAAAGCACAGACAAATTAAATATAATTTACTATTTTGAGGAAATTATTCAAAATATGTACGGAGATAATGAATAACTAATAGTACAAATAATGTTTAGATCGTCTGATATTTGTTTGCGCATACGTGGGCGTTCTTGTCGTCATCAGGCATATAATTTAAAGTACGACTTACTGTGTGTTCCATTAGCGCAATCTTCGTGTAGCCTGCCATCGATGTCATAATCTGAATAATTATATCAAAGACACATGAAGCACATCTATACAAGCAATACAAAAAGTGAAACTTTGTGTACGTTATTTAACAAAACATGAAGAATTGAACAATTGTTACTTAAAGATATACCATGCACATCCTTCAGCAAAATATTTTAATCATAGAAATGTACTAAAATCTTTGAAATTCTTACTAAATATGTCTAACATGAATAAAAGAATGAATAAACTATGTATGGGACGCTGTGTTCCTTTTAATAGGTCCAGTAAAGTTGGTCATTTTAAAGAAGAAAAAAACTGCCTGACACTACATGTATATATTCATATTGTAACCATCTATAGTTTGTAAAATTTTAAACATAACATATCTACTTAATTTGAAGTCAAAACATGTATATTTTATATTTACAGAGAGGTTGTGCTGCAATTTTTATTTTCTAAAAATCAAATGAGCAAAATTTAAACTTATTTAACCAATTAATTAATAAAGTATAGCAAGAGTCCCCGTAATTTAATATTTGACGATTTCCAAAAAAAGAATACACGCGCTATTTTCACCCATACTACTTGAAATTACAGGCTTTGCGTGCAAAGGAAATTATATTTTACGTGCAAGAAACATTTATAATAAAACAAAAAATGAAAATGTTAAATTTCTGCCTTAATTCTACGATTTATTCATATATTTTACTGTCACAAAAATAGCAATCACAGACTTAATATGACGGTTATGACGTAAAATGCATTACGTTTTCCAAACAAAGCACAATACTAAAATATTGGATAATTATTGTTTAGAACATAGTGTTGTTGGATGTGAAGGTATTTCATGGACGTTCCAAGTTTTATTGAATCTTTTACTGCATTTTTTTTCTTCATCGCTTTTTATTGCTGGTAACAATAATGTTTTCATAATCAAAACTTGGACAGCTAATTTCGATCAAGATCTTCCTTATCGCCAAAACTGCGTGATTTTCTTTTCTGAACTTACCAATAGTGCCCGGTACAGCACTATCCGAACAATGTTCTTCATCAATAAGTCCGTCACAGTCATTATCTATTCCGTCACCAGGACTTCCGGTAGACAAAGTACATACCTAAAGTTGTGAAAACATTTAAAGCGTATACAGTTAGACTCATAACAAACATATAATGGAGCATTTTTTTATGTCATGGTTTTTTC